CAGTGAGGCCTTCCAGCATTTTTAACAGTTCTTCAGAAGTCCAGTCAAAGATCTAAATCTTTCCACAGTAAACATTTATTGCACTCTCTATTCACTGCATGGTCTTTGATTCAGACTTTTAATCACATTCTGAAGTTTTGACACCAATTTCTCAGAAACTAATGTGCAGACCTTGCAAAATGAGACCCTCTGCCAAGCAGAGTCCGAAGTCCCAAGTGTTAGTAATAACCTCAAAACTTTGTTCTATCTTGCCAAAACATTTGTAAGACTTTCATTTTTCAACCTTTGAACATCTAGGACAGTTAGAGCTTGGGAAAAAAAAAGAATCATAGAATCGTTTAGGTTGGAAAGGACCTTAAAGATCATCGAGTTCCAATCTCCCTGCCATGGGCAGGGACACCTCTGACTAGACCAGGTTGCCCAAGGCCATGTCCAGCCTGACCTTGAACACCTAATGCTGGATTTTTTTTGAGAGATGAAGAGAATGTAGCAACAATTATACATTCCAAACAAACCATGTAACAGAAAATGTCTAATTAATTTTAAATGTATACTGGGGAACATATAGTAACTTTTTAATTTAAGAAAATACCTTCATATACCACTTCCCCATCTTTAGGTTTTTAAATGTAGTTAGTTAATAACATTCTTAATAACATTAAGAAAGCAACCTAAATAACTAATAATAATCTAAATAACTTAGTACTAAACAACTTAATATACTACTGCCACTAACTGCCATCCCTTCTTTCTCCCCCTGCTCAAAGTGCTTTTCTTCTATTTCTTTCAATGTGACCAATCTAAAAGACATTTTCATCAGGCAGTGATTAAAAAGCAAAGCCTTATACACTCCATTTTAACAGAAATTTGCCTGTTTCTGACTGACTGTTTCCTTTAGGTACTGTGAGAGACAAGGCAGTATGTCAAACCACCACATGGCGCTTACCACAAGCAAAGTAAAGCTCATATCTCTGCTATGTTTACAGGTCATATGTTAAAAATGGAACAAAACAACAATTTGCTCCACCAATTGAAATAATGATTTTTCTTTCTTTGGCAGTTTAAAGGAGAGTCACCATTCAACTGTGTCCTATACTGAACTGTGGTAACTTCAACAATATACATATGACTCTCTTATACATCAAGCTCTTTACCTAATTAAGGAAGTCTTTTTCTTCTTGCTCAAATGCTTAAAAAAATTAATTTCAGGAAGCAAAATCAGTTCATAAACACCCTTAATTTCCTGCTGCTTCAGATTAATTATGAATGTGTCTGAGTCTTCTTTGAGAAATCCACCTCAGGAATTTTTATCTGATACTTCCATCATCTACGGAATTATCTAGCACTTCAAAGTCAAATCTGTTCAGGGAAGTACTGATTTAAGTAAACTGTTACCTTTTATTGTTATTTATATTTATGCCACTCAACATCAACTGCAAACAGAACTGCATGGGTTCAATTAGCATGCTCTTAAATCATGTGCTTATGCAATTTAATATGGACAAATTTTTAAACAGTACGTAAAATTCTCATCTACATTATTTAAGACTAAAAGTCCCATTTTCAAAGATCGTGTCACCAAGAACATTAGGTTTTAAAAGCACGACTGGAACTTAAAGAATTAGGAGAAAAGGATATTCTGACTACACAAGTGCAGGCACCACACCTAGCCAGCTCAGTCATCTGCTCTACTTCAGAAAACAAAAAGGGTTTCTAACTGAAGGACATTCTGGATCACCCTCTACAAAAGTCTTCCTCCAAAGCCCGCCCTTCAGATGAAACTGGGTAGTCTGAGTATCCCCTTGTGCACGAACCACTACTGAAATGTCAAGTGCAGAATTTAGCTCCTAAAGATGTAAGAATGTCTAGTTCTATTTCAGTACTTGATCTCTACAATATTCACACAAACTACTGAATCAACTGCAATATTAGCACAATCCCATGTACATGTCACTTTCACATCTGTCTAATCTTGCTGTCATTAACAGACAAGAATTACATGCTATGAGACACTAAACTGGCACAACAATAAAACAAGTGATGGTCAAATGTTTTGAAAATTTGACAGTTTAGTTATTTAGCAAGTAAATGTCTCATTCCTGTTTCTTGAGTTGCTCCCCCAACAAAAAAAAAAAAACTAAACAAAACAAACCCCCAAAATTCTCTTTTTAACAAAACGAAAACTACTCCTGCTGACTGAAAAAACAGAAATCTGTTTCTTAATGGTTCTGTCAGAACTGATACCAAAACACTGAGGAGCAGGGAACAGAGGCAACTCCTACCTCATGTAACCAAGAGCAAAGGATACAAGTGGAGATATTGATGGGATCTATTTGAGACACTATCCTTTTCAATAAACCTGCACTTCAATACTCGCGTGATGATGAAGTAGCACACTAAGAAATGACACAAGGCAAGAATTTCATATTGAAGAACCAGTCATAATTGGCCATTTCTGTAGAGCAACACATGAAAATGGCTGCACCAATTCTTCTGTGCTCCAAAAAAATAATAAAGAGTAAGTGCAAACAATACTGAGTTCCACACTACAGAAGCTTTTGTGCCAGGGAGACAGTTAATTCTGCCAGTGTTTAGAATCACTTTCACAGACGTATGAAAGTTTTTCTGTATATGGAGATTAATGTGCACAATACTCGTATCTTTGGCGTCACCTAGTTAGCTCTAACATGCACAAAAAATACTGCCAAAATTTAAATGACAAGCCTGTTTTTTTCCACAACGCAAAGTAAATATTGCTGGCAGGCCCAGACATCCATCAAAACCAGGTTTTACAGAAAGTATCAGATACTTAAAAATATTTATTTATTTTTATAATAAATGTGACCTTTAATAATAAATTTTGCCCTATATTTTCCATACTGTTGGCATTTATTTTCTTCACCTGTGGATAGCTATGAAGTTTAAATATTGAAGAGCTAATTATAGGACCAGCCACTATACAAATATTTCTTCCAACACTCACAAAGCAGCTGGAAGAGCTGATCTGATAAAACTTACGAAGTTGTTTTGTAGGGTTACTGGCAAAGAAATAAAAGCTAGACCAAACATGTCAAAGTTACAGTGGGATTCCCAAAAGTTTTAAATGGGATTTAAATCATTTTAGCTGTTAGTTATAAGTGCATACATTCAAACGAGGAAACTAATCACACAGGAGACACCTCATACTGCAGTGAGCTGCACAGAACCCCCTTGGCAATTAGTATAATTTGACAAGGCTATAAAATAACTGTAGTCAAACAAAGTGAAAACTGTAAAGTTTTTTTCAGTGGAACTTTAAACCACATATTAGCAATATCTGATTTGTGGCTCTATTTTATACATAACTGTTCACACTTTTGAAGGATTGCTTAACTTCATAATGAAAAAGATCAAGAGAACATAAAATCATTACTAGTCTATTGAAAATATCACAAGTGCTACTGCGTGGCCAATTCAAACTTGTCTTTGCTTTACAGTTCTGACCACCATCTACATTTGTGACAGACTGCTTACTTTCCAAGTTGGCTTCCATTTTTGCTAGCACCATTTTACTTCCAGACAAAACAGGCCTATAGCTTTACCACATAATATGAAATTATTAAACTCAACGTTTGTAGCACAGTTCAAAATCATGGTGAAAGAATATTGAAATAGGCTGGAGGGTGAGCTGGAAGTCCGTTTTTCTTACTTGCTGTCTCTGCTTCTCTCTTGCAGTAGGACTTAGTTTGCTGTTTTACTTCCAAAAGAGAAAATTGGGATTGTCTCAGTGCTGACACAACAATCAAAAATTCTCCACTACAGCTGGGACACAATGTTTGTTAAAAAATGTACTTTAAAATAAGAATATAAAAAATCATAGAAAACTCACAAGTACTCTGCCAGTTAATGTCTGGGCAGATATCATGACTCCTGCCCAATCCTTCACGGAGGTCATCCATCCCACTTCTGCTGCCACATTCTCCTCTTTTTCATCTGTTGGTTTGCAGGCCCCATCTGCCTGTGTATCTCCACCACCGTTGATCTTCTGGGCCTCCTGAAAAATAAGTATTTGGATTGGTTAATTTTTAGTAATTGACAGTGAAAGTCAGTGTACAGTTGTGGCTAAGAAATGCTATGAAAAAAGCTTATCAGTCTTCCTGGATTCCTGCTAGATGAAATTAATCACCTATTTGGCCATAATTCTACACAACTAGAAGTGTTCTGTGAGTTACCAGACTAACAACTAAATAATTACACTCTCCTTGACATTAAATCTTGAAAACATATTTGGCATCAAATATGCTCTACATTCCCTTCCCTATAAGCAGCATAATTGCCATGAGCTACATATGCAATTACAGAGCCACATATAAATAAGTTTGTCAGACATACACTGAAGGACCTTTTGATGTATTAATTCAAAACAACGCATACTAGGTGTGAACATAACTTATGTACAATTTTAATTTACTACCACTAGAATTAATTACCTGAGTAAACCTTCACTGAGAAGCATGATGCAACAAGACAATAATTATCAAGTGCGAGGGGAACAAAATACACCATAGAGAATCTGCAGGGAGCTGCCATGCTATCAGTGAACCGGTGTTTCAATGGAAGTGTTTAATATATCACAGGAATTCTTCTGTCAGTAAGTAGCTCTCGTAGAATGGAGAGCTAGAATTTAAAGAGGAGCCTTAGCTGCACTAAGCTGCCTGATGAGTCACACGCAGAGGAATTCATATCAGTCTCTCATGGAAGCTGCAGCAAGGATGTCATGCTCTGTAACTGCCTGCTATGTGCTACATTCACAGATGCTGCACAAAAATCAAGGGAAATGATAGGAAAAGCCAGCCTGGATTGTACAGCATTTAAAACATATCATATGCAAAGTATCAGAGTGTGCCATGAGCATGCCTTTGGTGACAGCATAATACTAATGACTTCCTCAATACTTGACAAGTTATGCTAAACAGGCACAGGAGAGGCAGCAAAATTCAACGCTGAGGCAAGTACTGAGAACTTGAACTGTACCCATAGATCTACGTTAGTGCTTCAAGCACTCTGCGCAGACCAAAAGCTGGAAAGATCTTGTTTATAGATGACTTGCCTATAGGCCACTAAGCAGGAAATGAATTGCCATTAATCCCCTTTGGTATATCCGTTACACAAGCAAAGATGTTTGATGCCAGTTCAGTGATTATTACCACAGGAGGAATAACACACTGTCATGGTCAGAACGCATAGCTGCGAGATGGCCTTGAGGACACAGCTGGACATAAAGGTAAGGGCATTTCCTGAGGGCAGTACTGAACTAATAAAGCAGCTGCACTGAATCTGTCAGCAAAGGACAGTACAGCAACACTAAAAATGTAATATGGAGACCAACAGTTGTTTTTAGAGAATTTCAGTATTGCTAATCAGATTCTTCTCTGTTAGTCTCCCTCCTGACTCACAGACTCTGTCTCCTTACAAGCCATTACAGCACAGTGGACGATGTGGCTCTATTGATAATAACAAAATATTCAGCGTTACAACAGTCATTCACTACTTCCTATGCAAATAACCAGACAGAAGATAAAAGCTACTTTATATTTGCATAACTGGACCTCATTCCCTGACAAATTTGAATACAGTGAATCAGATGTTTTGCACTCAGCATGGAGAGCCGCATACTGCATTGCACAGGCACAGAGCGCAACCCACAGACGTGAGCTCACTGCGTCGGACAGTGACGTCTGGTACAGCACAAAGCATTCCCAGGACAGTAATGCTTGGCTACGGACAATTTGTGACCCATATCATCATCAAGCCACATAGATCAGTCCCAAAGAAACGCCTTGACCACCATTCACTTTTTCAATTATAAACCAACCAGGTTGCCCAAGGGGTTTGGGTTGGTTTTTTTGTTTGTTTTTTTTTGTTTGTTTGTTTGTTTTTTTTAAAGTGGATAGCATGGCATTGTAATAAAAAAAAATATTGAGGTTTAGGCAACCTAGACCCAAGGCCCTGGGGGCACTCACAAGCCTCACTGGCCCTGGCCGCTCTCCCCCAGGGTCTCCCCCCAACCCTGCCTGTGGTCCAGGACAGCAGCCCAGCACACCCCAGGGCCACCAGTTCCCCACAGCCCTGTCCTACCCAGCCATGGGCCCTGCTGAGCTGGGTCCTGCCAACCCCCAGCTGTGTCTGACCCTGGTTCCCCTCCCCAGGCCTGATCCTTACACCCTCACACCCACAGGCTGCCATCCCAGGCTGGCCCCAAGGATGTTCCTGGGGCCTGGAGCTGCCCCCAGCCTGCCCCGCTCCCCAGCTGGGGCAGTGGAGACAAGGTCCTGGGCTGCCAGGCCTGGGCATCCCCTGGCCCTCAGGGAGCCCCCATCCACCCCGACAACTACTGACTTGTTAAAAATTATATATGCCATTTTGTCTGTCTTTTGAAACCCTTAGAGCTTGTCTTTCAGATTGTAAACTCTACACAGCAGATTTTACTGCACGGTCTTCCTCTGCACAGCAGGTTTTTATACCCTGTACAATTTTATACTGAATCATAGAATGGTTTAGGTTGGAAAGGACCTTGAATATCATCTAGTTCCAACGCTCCTGCTATGGGCAGGGACACCTCCCACTAGACCAGGTTGCTCAAAGCCCCTTCCAGCCTGGCCTTGAACACCTCCAGGGATGGGGAATCCACAGCTTCTCTGGGCAACCTGTTCCAGTGCCTCACCACCCTCAGAGCGAATAAAAATATTCATTTGGTTTTCAGAATAAAGGAGGTATAATTATCTCTTCCTCACTGACAAGAATCTGAGACAGTGATGACGTGCCTAACTCAGTCACCAGAGAAGTCATTGGCAGAGCATGGATGAAACCACAGACTTCCTTGATTTTTCCACCCAGCACCCCCATTTAAAATCTCAGGGATGCACACCTTACTAAAAACATTCATAATTATGGATTTTGGTATAGAAAGTCCCAGAACTACATTAAACAAAGACCTGAATGGAAAAGTCCATTTTATGGTAGTGAACTTGAAAATATTAAGGTTGAAAAATTCTGTTGTTGTTTACATACGCCTTCCTTATGCCCAGCCTTTTTGTCACTATATCAAACTGAATTTTAAACACACGATTATAAAAATAAAATTTTCTAACACTCAATAAAAGAGTAGACAACTTACTTGACTGAAGGAGAAAGGCAGCTTTTATATTTTCAAGAGGTTCTAATACCCCACAGTTCTTTTTGCTGTATTGACTTTTGGTTGCCAATAAAATAGAGCAGCAAGATGCAACAGACCTGTTTAGTATTTGATTCTCTGAAGGTATTAAAATCTGAAATACATTTGAACAGCTGTATTTCTGCAGTTATACCACTTATTTCACCTCCATTAAAACCTCCCACCCACATTATTTCTTAATTAAAATATAAGTAAAACAATCATTCCTGCCAAGTATCATTTGGAGCACAGCCTCATGATCAGCTACACACCAAACCTAACTCTTGCCATTACTGTAGCTATAATTAATATGCATATTAGTTGCTGTTATGTAATATTTTTATTCAGTTGGGATATTTTGTATTTTTCATCTACATGGCTACCTTCTTAGCTTACTTAACTCACAGTTAAGTATTAAGAAAGTTTATTCCCAGGTCATTATGCAAATGTGGGGAAATCACTAAGGGAGATTTAAAGACTTCTGTCATTTACCCTGTGTACAAATCAGTCCTGTTATTAACTGTATAGTCTTCTTCCATTGCTATTTCTTCACCTTAAAGCATTGAGTAACCAATACCACAAACTAAAAAAGGTGCTTAAAAAAAACCTGACAGTGACGGTAATTGTTTAATTATTTACAGGCTCAGTAGCTACGAGTAAGATAATACTATCTTTATCCACTCTGTTTACCTGTTGTTTCACAAAGTGTTCATTATTTTAATTACTTGATGACAGCAACATTCGGGTAGATTAAGTAAGAAGCTGCATATTTTGTGAAATATACATTTCCTGAACACAATGACAAAAACGGAAGAGAATGAACGATGAGGTGTACAGGAGTCAGGACTTACTGTTCTACCGACGGTTTTACATGGACCTAGACCAGAAACCTCAATGTTTTCTCTTATATTTTTAACAGTAAATATTAATTTAGATTATACAAGTGCAGGGATGCTTAAACGCAGTTACCTTAAGCAAGCAAACTTCAAAAAGGGAAAAGACACTCAAAAACGGTTTTCAGTTTTGAAAATATAGTCCTGCCTGCTTCACTTCACCTCTCTAAAATATCTGTACAAACATAGAACTAATGCACAGACACTCCATTCAACCCAGGGCTACATGAAATAAAATCAGAAGACAATTAAAAACTTAAAACATCATCTAAGAATAATCTGTCTTTTTAGAAGCCCTAAAAAACAGGACACTATGAAGGCAACCTGGTAAGCACTCTTGGAAGGATTGGTACTGAAAAAGACACGGTCTTTTGTTAAGATATGTTAGAAAACATAGGAAACAGGCAGGTAACCTGAGAAAAACACTGGGTTAAAGTCTGGTGAAACAAAAAGTAATTCTGATATTCCTGCTGATCTAACATTTAACTCATATGAACAGCACACAAAAATCATGATTTATCAACTGTAATGAGAATACAGTGCATCCAGTCTTGCCCACATCACTCAAGATTATGCTCAATTTAGATGTTTAAAACAGTAACACCAATGGAGCAAGGCCAGTACTGACCTTGGAATTCCACCCTGGAGAACAAGAGATGAGAAAGCGTCTACCACAATGACAGTTGCAGCTAGTCTGAAGTATGCAGTAATAATACAGTAATAAAATATAGTTTGGGGAAGGTAGGGAAGGGCTCCTTTTGATAATGATGCCAGTAACTTGCAATTTTATCTCTATTAACTATCCCTCAATTAACAGCACTTCATTCCTAGAGCCTGCATTTTAAGATGTGTTTTATATCAGAACAACAACACTTTTATACTGGCCACTCTTACACATTGGAAATCTATGTTTAAGTTCCTTTTCATGCATCTGTTTCCCCAAAGCCA